CCGCGCCCTCCCCGTCGGGCCGCTCCGGGCAGACCGGGGCTCCGCGGCAGCAGGCGGGAGGGACGGGGACAGGGGGGCGAGCCCTGCGCCAATTCTTCCATTGCCAAAGAAACCTCGAAATTCACTCCTCGGCTGCGGGGTGTCGCGGCTCTGGGAGGATGGAGAGAGAGCGAGCACCCTCCCCAAAAAAATCCTCCCCCTATCCCAGCCTACAGGTCAGACCTCGAAAAACTGCAGCTTTTGGGTATTTTCCCTTCTCTCTCTCCTTCTCTTTTTTTTTCGGCTTTGGATTTGATCCTGGCCTCCCTTTGGAAGGTCAAGTTGGTGATAATGTGACCACTTTTCTTGCGCAGTGGCTGTTGCTTTTGTCCGTAGCTGCAGGGATATGCCCAGGGAAGGGGTCCCGCTGCTGGGTGCACTCCTCCGGCGTGCAGTCGCCCGGCCCAGGGGCTTCTTTGGGAGCCCAGCGCTTGGCAAGGGACAAAGCCTCCCTCACCTTCGCTGAGAGCCCCAGAAGTTGAAACATAATGTGTATTACAATGTCTGGCAAATAATAATAAAAAAAAAAGAGGGGGAGGGAAAAAGAAAAGAAAAGCAATTGGCACATCTGCATTCCGTTCCCATGGCGACAGAAAGCACCGCGCTCTCTGCCGAGCCTCCCCGGCACGTTTTCCCAGCTGGCGTGGGGCGAGCGCCCCTGGCCGGGGCCGGGGTCCCCCGGGGCCCCCCGGCACCCTGGGGCAGGCCGGGAGGCATCGCCACCAGCCCCTGGCCCGGCTCTGGCAGTTCGCATCCCACAGGGATGATCCCCGCGCTGCCGCCAACCCTCGCGGGCCGTGACAGCTCCGGGAAGGCTGCAGAGAAAAATCTTCCCGTGGCTGCGGTTACCAGTGGGCTGTTTGCTGGCTCTCTGCCCCCCAGGAGATGCTGCGGGAGACTGGGGAGGGCTTGGGAAGGTGCTGCCGCGCTCCCGCTGCTCGGCGAGGTGGAGCGCGGGTACCCTGCCCCATCCTTTTCTCCGCAGTGGGCATCCCTTGCCGAGGGAGAAGGTAGCACAGCAGGGCCGAGCCACCCGTGCCCACCGGCGTGCAGGGACGGCGAGAGGTGGGAGCCCCCCCGCACCTCGGAGGCAGGTTTTCCACCTTCACTTGCACGGGGTAATGGCGTCAGATGCCACGTAGGCCCGCAAAGCTAAATATGCCTGTGCACCCTTCCAGGGCCAGCAAAGCACCGCCATAACCACAGTAAGGAAAAAGGATCTCAGCCTGAATTTGGCTATACCGGGAGAAAGAAAAGTTCTGAGGAGCTGTTATTATATATTCTAATGAGAAGTCATTGGAGAAATTAAAAAGGGCAGAGAAAGACGAAGACGCCAGCACTAATTCCACAGGAAGCCTCCCAGGGAAAAGGCTGTGTGAGTGTGAACGCTGAAAAGCATGAAGGCCTGGAATTAGACTATCATTTAGAAAGCGTTACTAATCCGAAGTTACAGCAGTAATTCCATGATTTGCTGGGTCCCACACGCAGCGCCAGAATTAAAGATACGGATTTTCTAGAAATGTAACTCAACTGTGGCACCGAGTCTCGGGAAGATCCGAATGAATCATTCATTCCAAAGGCAGCGAAAGACGTGTCATTAAGAACCATCCTCCTTCTCTCCAGCCCATCTGGAATATGTATACTCGATGCAATCCCAGAAATTGTGGAAGAGATTGGAGGTGGGGAGGAGGGAATGTAGTCCTTTCCCTCCTTTATTATGTTGGTTATTTTTAAGAAATAATTTTCCAATTATTTTCACAATATTGTGAGTGGCGCTCAATTCTTCTCCTATTTATTTTTTTCCCCCTTTCCTACGCCAGCATCGAGTCAGGTGCAAGCGGTTTCAGTGGAGATGCTTTAAAACTAGACTGAACAAAGCAGGAGGGAACTGAGCAAGGTGGTTGATGAATGCATTTATTCCGGAGTAATGATTTGATGGGGGATGGAGGAAAGAAACATTCAAATTCCTAATGAATATAATTCAGGAGGAATCATTCAACCAGCGTGTTAGAGAAAATCTGTTTGGTGGGAGTGTTTCTGCACTGGCAGAACCCAGGAGGTATTTCTGTCCTTGGCTTTTGTAATTGCAAAAGGTGAAAATATAAAAAGAGGATCTGAGGAAAAAAAAATATACACACATATAATAAATGTCTTTGTGTGTGTGTATATAAATACATATATATATATATATATAATTTCATGAAATAAAATGCAAGTGTGGCAATCCGTGTCTACATGAGAACTCTTACAAAGGATCAATGCAAGTTTTTTCACCTTGCTCTTTAATCAGGTGGTCAGAAACCACCCTTGACTTCTACTATATTTTTTTTCTCCCCAAAATTGCCTGTTCTGAGCTGATTTTTCAGATATTTTTTCAGGCTATGGACTCGATTCACTAAGCCCAGAGCAGTGTCCCCAAAGGGGATTGAGACAGGGACCGAGCGATTTGGCCTTTAGTGTCTGGGAGAGAGAAATTGCAGTTGAATTTTTTCTGGTGCTTAAATTCTTCGCTTTTGCCCCCATTGTTGACGTGAACCTGTGGGTGTTTGGAGGAGATGTGGAGGTGGCACCCCCTCAGTTAATGAAGGAGGTGGCAGTGAGTGATGGGGGACAGTGGCATGAGAATCCCCAGCTCATGGGAAGGGTGGAGGGCGAGGAGGCAGATAAAGCCCCCCAGCAAATCCCTACTTGCGACATACCCGCTGCATTTAAAGAATCCCTGGCAGCCCACTGACAGGTCTCTGCTTTCTGTCATTTTTTTTTTTTTTAAGTGCTATGGTGGAAGAAAGGTCCATAAGGGTCCATCCTTGGGCCAGGGATGGATTTTGGCTACGCATGGTTCCCTTTGTGGCTTAGCCTTTTCCCCTATATGTGTAGCTGTTGGCTTTGGATGGGTCTTTTCCCCTGCGTAGCCAAAACCCCAAAGGGAAGGTGTCTCTTTGGGCTGTGCTGAGAGGAGAGCCCACAATGTCCTAGCATTCCCAGCTCTTTCTCTTCTCAGTGGGACTCTCCTGGTGTAGCAATGGGATGCAGCGTAGGCCAAATGTGGGTGAGGTTCCTGAAGCTGGGCCATGATGTCTTTGTTCTTCAGGCAGAGGTGGGGATGGGCAGAGGGAGACAGAAACAGAAGAATCAGTGTGTGCCATTGGGGGATAAATGGAAAATATAATTTGTGGGTTTCACCTTGGGGAAATGATGCTCTGTGGCATTGAGTGCTCCAACTCACGATTTCCGATCTTTTCCTAAGACTCGGCCACCATGCAGCGCGTTTGGCTCAAGGGATGAGGTGAAGGGGGTTTGTACCAGATACCTGGGTAAGCCAAACTCGCCTGGGCTCAGAGGCAGATGGAGAATGGGATATTACATCCCTGCTATTCGAAGAAGCTGCCTTGGAAGCCAGGCCATGCAAACCCTCCCGCTTGGTTATGGGTGAAATCCCATCAATGGGCATTTTTGTGGAATTGCCTGGCAATGGTGTGTTCGATGCTTGGGGCTGGGCTCAGCCATTTCTTTTGTCTCTCTTGGCTCCCATCCCCTCTCTGCACCCTTGATGCAGGCGGACGGTGCCTCCCTTTACCTGCTGCTCTGCCCTGGCTTTGTCCGTGCCACCTGAGGAAGGGCAGAGCCCAGGGCCTTGGAGGGCACATCCAACCTGTGGCTGCGGATGGGTGCTGCTCATGCACCAAGGAGGGATTGTGGCTGCGTGCTGGAAACACACTTTCTCATTTCTGCGTGGAGGGAAGGTGCTAATTTGGCATCTGTGCAGGTGCAAGCACTGAGGGCTGGTGCCTGGCACGTGGCAGTGCACGTGTGCCGTTCATGGGGTGGGTACTCCGTGTCACCCCTGTCACCGATGCTCCCACATCACGGACCCTCAGTTTTCTCTGGGTGTCTCTGGGGGCCACGAGCATAAGATGGACCAGTGGCTGCCCACCTGGCTTCCCCGCCACATGGTACTGGGCGTCGCCCTGGCTAGGTCAGGGATTTCTGTGCCTACAAGCCTAGTCACCTCAGGAAGGTGTTTGCCAAGAGCCAGGCTGGAAAAACACTATCTCGAGCTTTTCGCCATCCTTCTCTCCCTCTGGGTGAACGTGTTTGGAACCAGAGCTTGCACATGAAGCTGGGCCATCACACTGCCCACAGCCATGCTCCCGGGATCTGCAAAGAGTCAGGACAAGGCTCTGGCTTTCCTGTTTTCTGATATTTATTCAGGGGCTCAGGTTTGGTTAGGAGCGTTTGCCTCGAAAGCTGAGGAGTGGAGGTAAAAAAAAGAAAATGGGGGAGCAAAAGAACACAATCTCTGGCAGTTAGCTGTCTCTTGGAAACTCAGTTTGCTGTTCCTATAGAGGCTTTCTCTTTTCCTTCACCCTGGTCTGGCCTTAAGTACCACTTTAAGCGGGCTTTGCTCATTCACATCCAGGCTCCTTAGAGCAATTGAGCCTGCGGGGGTTTGAAAAGAAGGGACAGTCCTTCAATGGCAGGACCTTGGGCCAGGCTAATTGGTTTTGGTTCAAGGGGATACTGGATTTGTGAAAAGCCCAAAGACATCTTTCCCACGCCAAATCCCAGCTCTTCAGAGGGGGAAGTGAGGGGTGCTGGGTGGAGAAGGGAGCTGAAAGAAATGTGGTTTAGTTGAGGAACCTCTGTAAGGATCCAGACGCCCACCAGGCTCGGCAGGGCTGGGTGCAGCGGGGGGCAGTGCCCAGGGGAGCATGGCAGCAGGGGGACTGTGTCCCTCCTCCTCAGGGTAGGTGGGTGGCGGTAGCTGGCTCCCACCACTGGCACTCTGGCAGTGGTGGCCTGGTTTCATTAAAACCAGGCTTTTTCAATGGATGCCAGACTCCTGTGGAGATGGCAGGAATGAAGGAAGGATGGGACCTGGGTCCAGAAACCAAGTTGCTTCTGTTTACTCGCCTGTGCAGCCATGGGGGGAATTTGTTGAGGTCTCTTGTATCTCATTTTGATTTAGGAATTTATTTATTTTTAAACATTGACTCTCTCTGGCACCATTCCAGCAGTCCCACGACCTTTACTCTCCTCGATCCATAAAAATTACTTAATTATTAGGCTGAAAATCAAGGCTTGGAAACAAAGCCAACTTATGGGACCATCAGTTCTTGATATATTTCCTGAGAGGACATATTTCTGGGCACCTTCAGAGCAGAGCACGCAGCTTGTTGGATATGAGATATCAAGGCATTATTTATTGAGGAAGTCTTCACACTCCCTCATCTGTTATAATTAACTGATGACATTTTTTCTTAGGTTCAAAATATGGCGAAAAAGTGTAATTAGCACGAAGCTGAGGCACTGCATTAAAATGTCTCCTATAGTTAATGTAGAGTAGTCGTGCTATTTATTATAGGAGGAGCTGGCTCTGACCTCTGTGTTGCCTAACACTTTTTATTGTAAAGATTCTTGAACTTTTTTTTTCTTTTTGAGCACCTCTGACACTCCCATTGTTTGCTGTGGGCCCTTGAAATTCGTCCGGGGGAAGCGCTTTGGCTAGAGAAATGCCTATTCTTTGTCCCTTAAATTCCTTTCAGGTTTAGCTGAATTATGAATTGGTCAGAATTGCGATTTCACTTTGGTTGCCTCTTGAGGTGGTGGTGGTGGGAAATTAAAATGTATTGTTTCCCTGGAATAATAATAACAGATCAGGAGCAGGGTGAAGCCATGGACTCCCACCACTTTATTGAAGAGCTCTGGACCAGCCAGGGAAGGTGGGAGGATGTTTACAGCCAACTCCATCACCCCCTTCCACCTTTAGCTCATATCCTTCTAGCATGGCCCCACCTCCTGGGAGCAAACTCCTCTGGGTCCTGGAGCCAGGAGGAAAAAGTGTAGGGGGTGTGGGTGTGTTGGCCTGGGCACTGCCAGCCTCAGCGGTCCCCTTCCCTGCCGGCCCCGGGAGAGCAGCCTTCTGCCGCTGCCAGATAACATTAGTCCTGTATTTCATAGTGGCAGAAATCTGTGCCGAGGCTTGGGGCTTGAAATCGTTCTGCCCGCACAGGATGAAGCAGGGATGGGTGCGGGGTGGAGGAAGGGGAATTTGTTACACTTGCCTACAATTGTTTTTCTTTTTGCTTATATAAACAATCTATTATTTATTAGGTATAAATAATGCATTTTTCTGTATGTTTAGAATGCACGTGATTTCTGTATATTAAAAATGTACATGGTTGAAGGCACCAAAGCAGGCGCTGGCAAGTCAGGGGGTACCCGATTTCATTTTGACCATGAGACGTTAATTCAGCCTCTCCCTGCCCGTGCCCTTACGAGGCTGACAACACGGTCACAGCCTATTTTTAGCTCCCTCCCTCTTTTGCTGTCCAGCTGCACAGCGAGGTGGAATTAAGGTTGCATGGGCAGCCATAAATTGGACACTTCCTAACTTCGAAGTGCTTGACCACGCAATCTAAGCAAGGGCTCTTCAGGGCAGTATTTCTGCATGTGGCATTATCTGCGTTGGCCAGGCACGTCAAATACAGGGGTAGAGAAGCCTTAGAGCAGAAAAGACCTATCAGACTATAGAAAGTGCTTGTTTGAATAGATGAGGGAGTCAACAGAACCTACACTTGATCTGAGCTAAATGGCCAAGAAGATGTCTCCAAGCTGAGAGGGGGAAGCCTTTGTTCCTTCAGTCCCAGCCTTGATGTTTTCTTTGGTTTTGCCTCGTTCTCTCCTAGGGAGGTTTGGGCTCCTGCTCTGGAGGAACCTTTGGCTTGCGTAGCGAATTCATGTGCTTGTAAAAGCGAGAGTGTCCCTAGGAATGTGCACCCCCATACTCGCTCCCGTCACCGCACCAGCAGATGTGTGCTACCAGCTCACAGATACCTGCTGATTGGCATCCTTGCCTTGCCTTGCCCTGCACACTCCCTCTTTCCCATGTTGCTGTCAGGAGCTGTTCCACATGTTGGAGGGAAAGGAGAGGCCTTTGTGTTTTACATAGGAGGGATAATCTCATTTTTAACTGCTGGAAGAATTACTCCAAAGGTGATTATATGCAATGCACATTTATCTTTGCTTGAAATAGCACTTTTTTTGTTGTTTTTTTTTTTTTCTTTGTTTACTGGTGGGTATCTTCATTCTGACTCTCAATAAGATGCTGGCTGTCTGTTTTATAGTGGAGTGGGCACCTCAAGCAAATCCATCTGGGAAGTAATCAGCCTTTTGTTTTACTTTCCTGGGTGTAATGCAGTCACAGCCCTTTGCACATACTTGTGCTGATACCAGAGCATTCTCCCCTGGCCAGCAATGTATTTGCCCTGGGTTATAATTACTTGACCTGGCAGTTTTGCCTTGTGGATTCCTGGAACCTGATACCTGCCTGGGGCTGTTTCTGGATCAGCACGGGTATCTAAGTGTCCTACATTTGGGTTTCCATCATTTGGGTTTGGCTTGTGTTCCCTGAGCATCTCTTTCATAACTTTCCCCCTTTCTCCTGCCTCTCAGTTCAGCAAAGGGCCTGTCTATCTGGATGCAGGCAATAAACATCTGTTCTCACCCTCACTTCTGTTAATGAGATAGAGACAGGTAAGCATCACACATACCAACTTCCCTGCTCTCAGCAACATCAAGGAAATGGTGACAAGCTATTAATGGAAAGTGATGGTCTGGGTGCTAATTAGTGCTTCCTTTTCAACTTTTACCTACATGTCTGCCGAGATGCCCATCCCAGTCTCTCCTCTCTCCTTGCATCCCTTTGTTTCCAGCAGGTTCCATGTTCACTGTGCGCATCCCATGTCAAAGAGGCTTCTCTCTTTATTTTTTCTCTACCAATCACTTTCTGCATCTCTTTCATTCCCTCATTTTTCCATGCACCCTCATTCTCCTGCAGTTGTTCCAGGCAAAGAATAAGCACCATATTATAGTAGGATTTGAAATCTTGGGGATGGGACATGTGAAGTTGGTCAGGAGTTTCTCATCTTCATCAGTAGGTAGTAATATTTGCTTGTGGCACCAGTGCACGGGGTCAAATTACCCTGGGGACATGAGGTCAGAGATCTGTCCCCTCTTCCCACAGGTAATGCTGTAGTGAGGCTCCCAGCAGCTCACAGGTCTTGATCATGGAGTAATTAGTATTTAAAGCAGATCCTCTGGTAATGCCCAGAGACTAAGTAGGACAGGCTTCCGTGGTGTGAGCCTGCAGGAGATGACAGGTCCTGCCCCAGAGAGCTTGTGGTCTAAACTCTAAATGATTTTGCTGTCCACCAGACCCTGTTAATGGCTGGTTTTTGAGATCCAGCCCAATTTATGCTGCTGCAGCAACGTGATTCCTGGTCTCAGCTTGGTGCCCAGTCTCTCCTGTTTCTCTTTCTTCTGGTCCCTGGGCTCTGCCCCTTCCCCAGGGACCCTAATCATCCCCTCCTCACCTCTTTTGCACGGGCTGTGGGTTTCTTGCTGCCAGGCTTGTGTCCCAAGGAGCTGCCTAATCTGCCCCTGTCATTCCCAGTCACAGGCTCTGCACACACCATAGCTTTATGGGGAATGCTTGCAGGGCAGTGGGAAGAGGCAGCCATGGTTTGCACATCAGCTAATTAATTTTCATGACTGAACGGTGCTGCCTGGTCTCTTGTTTATACTCCTCGCCGCTCCCCTTCTCCCCCTCCTCGCTGACACACACACAAGACGACACATCTCGTAGGAACGTCAGCATCCTTCCACAGCCTTGAGACGCGAGCGGTTATTCTGTTGGCTTGTCAAACGCGGGTTTCCCTGCTTCATGGTACACAGGGGCCCCCTGTTTCACATTTGCTGATTCTTATTAGACCCAGCGCGCCAGGGCCTTGTCTCTCCCCGCAAAGCAACGTGCCGCATCCCATCCATAAATCCAATCCTGGAACAAAGCCTCTTCTACCCTGCCCCATATTTCTACCCAGCCTGCCCGCTTTCCCCTCTCTCTCTCTCTCTCCCCCTCTCCCGTGCTGAAGGTTTCCTAGTGCCAGGGAGATATGATAATTCTTGTGAAGAGAGCATGAAATGCCTCTGCTCTTTGTGTCTGTTTAATTCAATGAGAATCCCAGCCCCAGATGTCATGAATGGTGGGCTTTGTGCTGGCCCTTCCTAAGCCCTAACCGCCAGCCCAGCTCTCTGTCTTTCTTGTTTCCCACCACTGGATACTGATTAACAAACTAAATTATTTTTCCTCCCTAATGATGTTTTCCCACTTTGCCCACCAGGCTGGAAGAAGCCACGGGGAGGAAAGAGTTTGTGCAAAGGATGAGATAGCCAGGGAGAAAATTAAAGAGACAGTGTTGCTCTCTGGGCTCTGGCAATGCAGGTCCGCTCGGCTTTATTTCCTTATTAGAGAATGGGGTCGTGTCTGGCTGTATTTTACGTGGCTGGGTGTATTTCAGCCGAGGGATGGGCTTGAAAGCATCTGCGCAAGGTACGCTCTGGAGCATGCGAAGGTCCGTAACTCACTTGCAATTGCGTGTGCGAGTTTGCATGGTCCCAAATTTAAGGTCTCTTTTCCAGCCGTGAGTGACATGTGGTAATTATTTGACATCCGTCCATGCATATGGGAACCTCTTTCTAATTGAGACAAATTCTCTTTTCCTTAATCAGACATGACTGAGAGTTCGTGGAGTGGGATGCCTTGGGAAGGGCTGGGACGTCTCCACCTGAGCAAGGAGAGGTGAGTCCCTGGAAGTCTTGCTGAAGGATCAAGTCCAACTCGTGCATGGGAGACCAGCTCTTTTACCTGATCCCTCCCTCCCTCCCACAGCCAAATTCCCAGCCAGGTTTTGAAACAGGGCCAGTTGTTAGCTGCTGCTAGAGAGGACCAGCAGCAATAATCCAGGGAGCCTGAATGGAGCTGAAGGCAGGTGGCCAAGGAAGGATCATGCAGAGCCACCTGCTTTTTGGAGCCCAGCAGTGCCTCCTTGCTGGGCACCAGTGAAGCTGTGGCCAGCAAACACCCTCCTGGAGCAGGGAGAGAGGATGGGTGTCAACCTTGTGAGGAGAAAAGGCAGTAGGGAGGGAGCCTTTCAACAACAACCTGGAGGTCTGGGTTGTGCAGCCGGGAGTCATTGAGAGGGGGTTGGTTTGGTATTTCGATTTAAAAGAACAAACAAACAAAAAACCAGAGGAGACCCCATGCTGGTGGTGTGGGCTCCTCTCAACTGTGGCATGGGCAGGGTCACGTCTGATGGACAGGGCACGACAGAGAGCTGGGTGTGCTCAGGAAAGCTCTGTGGTGGTGCAGGACTCAGCCCTGTATTTACGAGACAATGCAATGTGTGTATTTATCTCTCACAATTGAGACCTCCAGTCAGAGAGGGCCAGAGACTTGCCTTTCCCTGTGCAGATCTGGGAGGCTTGTGCAGGCTCAGCTTGTAGAGTGGCTGCTCCTCTCAGAGCCACGCTGATGCTGCGGTACCCAGCCATGGTTCCCCTTTTCCTCAGCTTCGACTAAAAGGGGGAATAAACCAAGAAAAAGGAGCTGCTTGCCTGCACCCACCAAACCCCTGCAAGCACACCCACTGCATCCAGCAAAGCACTGCCTTGTGTATGGCCTTTGCTTCCCACTGCAGTCACATCTGACCCTTATTACTTCTGCAAGGTAGAACAAGGCAGGAAAAATGGCTGTGCAGCGAGTTTCTTCATGCGCCAGGATTTATTAAGAACAATAGGGGAAATCAATCCATCTATGTAGAATACATCGCAGGCTGCAATGGGATAAAGCATTTATTCCGCTCTTGAAGGGTAGAGCTATAACTCATGGGAGTTAGTGCTCTGGAGTCCCTTCCCTTCATGTGTGCAAAGAAATGCTTTAGCCCATGGCAACCTACCAGCTATTGAATTTGTGTGGAGAATCTGCTATCCTTCCCCTCTGCCGGCCCCTTTTTGGAAGGCGAGTCACTCATTAAAACACACCTCTGGAAAAATGAAGGGGCTGTCGGTTCGAAGGCATCTCTGCATCTCAGTTTTACTTGAAACAGAAAGGGTATAGAAATGTCTCAGTGATGTAAAAGCAACCTCCCACCGATTCTGAACGGACAGATTGTGCTTAAACCAACGTAGGATTTGCTGCAACTTTCTGCTGATGCCCAAAGACCAGGCTCTGCAATTACAGTGGAGAGGGATGGGTTGGGGTGTTGTGACAAGGCAAGATGCTGTGCAGGGAGATGTGTATTGTGCGGCTGAACACCTTCACTGCTGACTAGATAGATGTGTGTGTATATATATAAGTACTCCCTGTGCCCAGCTCTCTACTCGTGGTAGAAGGCATGCAGTGCAAAGACTGGAGCAGTAGTTAGCAGGGGCAAAAGGTGACTGGGATTTGTTATAATCTTTCTGGGTGTGAGAGAGTGTGAAGGCGGGGGGGGGCAGGGTGGGTGGCATTAATAGTGAAATGGTATTTTCACTAAGCCTATTTTCACTGGGTCTAATCTATGTTGTGGGAAGAGGATCTCTTCAATAGGGCAGACCCAGCGAGCTGGGGTCTGGGCAGCTGAGGAGTGTGGGCAGGGGAAGCGTGGCAATTGGGCAGACACGTCAGACGGCCTTCCTCAGCAGAGATGACTTGGTAGGTTGTGTGCTGCTGGGCAGATGGGGTTAATTCTTACACCCAAATCAAAAGGCAACTGAGGGGGGAATGTTTTATTAATGAAAGCAACCCTTTGTGAGTATTCCTCCTGAGGCACGTTCCCTCCACCCGCTGCCTTCCCCCCTGGCTGCTGTCTGGCCCCACGTCTTGCTCAGTACCTGCTCAGCTGCCACTCACCCACTGATAGGTTTCATCAAGAAATGTCTCCATATGTGTCTGAGTCTGGAACCTGGGTATGTAGGATGAGAAGAGGAGGAGGGATAGGTCCTTGGCTGTGCTGTAGACAAGGGTGTGCCACAGGCAGACAGAGCTTGGGCTGTCACAAGTTGCATGTCAGCCCATCGTCTTCTGCAATGGTGCTGCAGGAGTCACCTCTTGTTGGTACCAAAGAGCAAGAGAACCAGAGTGTTTCTCTGGTAAAAGGTAAAAGAGAAGGTTGAAAGCGGACAATTCAGTGGGCTGGGGATGAAGGGGACAGTGAAGCTGGAAATTGGGTTGGGGAAGTTGGAAGTGCCTTACCCACCGTCCATCCCTTTTCCCATCTCACTGCCCTGCTGCCTGCCAAGCAATGGGCTCAAGAGAGGAGCAGCCAATTTCTGTGCACCAGAAAGCAGACTCTCCTGGTCTTTCTTACCCTGCTGTCTCCCTATGCCCATGTCCTCGGGGGCCCTGGACAGCTTGTTCTGCCAAAGGACAAGGGCCGTGGGAGTAGCAAGGGCTGTGTGTGGAGATTTTTTCTGTCGCTTTGTTAAAAATAAAACAAAAGCTGGTTTATGACAATTGATTCAGGAGAAAGAGGAAGTGGAGCTCAATTCCCAGAGCACCTTTTAGCAAGGCTCTGCATGCGCGCGTGTGTGTCGTACGCGTGTCAGAACTGAGCACCCATGGAAGGCCGGGTCGGGAAACCTCACATGGAAGCGGGGAAAAGACCCCAGTGTATGGCTGCTTCCCTGAGGGAACCCCCGCAGGGCTAATGTTTGATCTGAGGCTCAGTTGTACTCCTCTGAAACCTTGGGATGTCAGGAGCTCGAAGGGAGCCTGGGATGGAAGAGGATGCTATTTGCATTTTCCTATGAATGCATCTATTTGTATAAATCTGGTGTCTCTGTGCATGCGCACACTCCCCTATGCATGCATTTGTTTGAAGAGCAACACACTGTCCCCATGGTGTTCTCTGCTCAGGGCCAGAACTGGTTAGTCTGAAATTCAGACTCTTCCTGGAGGAGCTGCAACTCCCCTCCCCACTTCAAATCTAGTGATGGCTACGGACACAGGAGTCCCGAGATGGTTCACCATGCGATAGTACAGTTTCATTGTGGGGGATGAAGGCTCCCCCTTTCAAATTTGCACAGACATCAAAAGAATCTGGAAGGTTCAAACAGATCACAACGTAATCAAAATGCCAAGCCACCGTCTGCTTCTGCCTTTGGGTTGACAAGCAGGATTAGCACCCAAGGGAAGCAGGGTGTAATAGTGTTTCACGGGCACTGTGAACAGCCCAGAAGTGTGCGGAGTACAGAAAGGTTAGCCGAAGGGCAGGTCTAGCTACAGACGTACAGTTGGGGGGTGGATTTTAAAGCAAGGAGCTGTACATGTACAACCTCTGTGGATATTTACTTTAGCAGAAGGCAGGACTCTCCTGTATACCAGTTATGTCACTCTGGAAGGAGTTTAAACTGGAGAAAGCCAGCTTGAGAGTGGAGATATGAACCAGTGTGGCGAGGAGCAGCAGCAGTTGACCTATAGTGCTGTCATTATAATGGTGTGGTTTGCCATGTAGACATCCCCGGAGCAGAGCAGCTAGCCTGCCATCCCTTATGTTTCACTGTCTAACTGAGATGTATAACACGGCCCTGCCTGTGTGCAGTTGCAATCACCGGGTGGTTCTCTGCAGAGAACTGGAGCAGGTGCCGAATTTTCAACCTGCGTCATGTGCCTATCACACTATGTGAAATAGCCCCGTCATGGCTAAAGACATGTGAAACACTTCCCAAATACTGCTTTAATGTCAGTCATTGCTGGTCCTGTCCTGAAGACAGCCTGAGATCAGGGATATGAGGGTTCCTTGGTTGGTATTTGGTGTTGCTCATTTGGAGAACTCAGCAATGCAAAGCTCCTATGGAATGGGAAATGTAGCTGTGGCTTTGTCTGTGCTCTCTGTTAACTGTGCGTTCTCCTTTTATAACTGACCTTGTTTTAAATTTGTGTTACATTAAGGTTTAGGAAGCTCACTTCTTCTTTAATGGTATCTCTGCAGTTTTGCTTTAGGATTTATTTTGTTTTGGCCAGGAAAAAGGCAGAATTTGCTCATAACTCACTCTCAGAATGCTGGACAGGTGACATCTTGCCTTGTAGCTCTCAGACTGCTGCATCTGTCCAGGCCTTTTCTTCCAGGGCCAGTCCAGTGCCCAGGACTCACAGGACAGATTGAGGCAGGGAGCTGTGCCCTGACAATGGCTGCCCGTGTGGTGATAACGCCATTCCTGTCCAAGGGGAAGGCCACGGAAAGGGCACAGCCGCCTCCATGGCCATGAGCAGGGCGCAAGCAATATGTGCTGCCTGGTGAAGGAGAAGCGTGTCAAGACTGTTCCAGGCAGGAGGTCTGGGGAAGAAGCTGAGGGAGCGCTGCATGCCCAGCGCCTTGGCACATGAGCGGGGCCCAGGCTAAGATGGCCGCTCGCCAGCACACTCTGGCCCACCATGGCAACTCCCTCTCTCCAGGGGCCCCCGTTTCCCGGCTGCCGCTGCTCCCGGGTGCCCACCGCCTCAGGGCTGGCGGAAGGGAGCCCGCCGGGACAGGCCAGCTGCGGGCCTGAGGCAGTGTGGGCCCTGGCGGCCATTTTGCGGGAGGCGAGCGCCGCCTGTAAGATGGCCGCATGGGCATGAGGTGGGGTGCAGCGCTGCCTTGTCCTCGCCACGCTGCCTCCCTCACGCCGTCCCCTCCTTATCTTGCTAATTACCGATGAAGGCAGAACAATAACGGGAGCTGGCATGCCCCAGTTCTTTCTCTGCCACCTCCTTCCTCGGGCGGAAAATCTGCGTGCACACCTCCCCCCCCGCCTGCCAGCCCCTCTGTGATATTAACT